ATTAACATTAGGGAAATAAAATAATTTGGCAAGACAGCCAATTTTGGCTATAATACAGGAATAAACCTATATTTCAGTTTTCCATCATATGGAAAGAAATTATACATATATTCTCAAACAACTTTAATCCATGGTATAATAAGATCTGTGCCATAAATGTAGTAATACAGGTTTACATTTTTTCTTTAGGCCCCTTTCTTAGATTTGACTTTTAAGACAGTTACAATTATTCCTTTATTGAAATAGTTTATTAGAAGGAATATGAACCTTCAAAGTAATATTTTGAAATATGGTTACTCTTGTGGTCTTATTTTCTCCTAAAGGCAGGGTAAACTCCCATCTATTGCACATAGAGAGTCAGAATCAAGAGAATATCTGCTTAAATCTTTTTTTTTTTTTTTTTTTTTGTTCCAGGGGCACTTAACTATCAAGTCACATCTCCAGCCCTTTTTATATTTTATTTTGATACAGAGTCTCACTAAATTGCTTAGGGCCTTGCTAAATTGTTGAGGCTGGCTTTGATTTCAAATTCTCCTGCCTCAGCCTCCTAAACCCTTGGGATTATAGGAGTGTGCCACCATGCCCAGCTTCTGCTTAAATCTTGAACAGAACTATGATGCCTAAGTAAATTAGACTGTATGAAAAGGAAGTTTAGGTCATAATAGCATTCATTAGTTAACTTGGTTTAAATTCCAGCATAGCCTACTGAGATATGAAGCAATGATCATCTTTTTTTTTTGTACTGGGAATTGAACCCACAGGCACTTATCACTGAACTACATCGCTAGCCCTCTTTATTTTTCTTTTGAGAAGGGTCTTGTTAAATTCCTTACAGCCTCACTAAATTGCTCAGGCTGGTCTTGAACTTTGCAGAGTCACTGGAGGTATATGCATGCATCCCTACACAAGCAATGATAATCTTATACAATGTCTGGTTACCTTCATTTTAGCTTCCTTCTTTTGGTACCCAGTTCTATGATCATTCAGGCTTACTGGATCGAATTTGAAAACTAAAATCTTTAAATAGGTGTCACAAATCTTTTCCATCTCTAAAATAAAATTTTTGATTTATGATTAAATTCTTAATTGACTTTTTCTTTATAAAAAGTAAATATGAATGGCTTTGGGATAATGTAAATTATTTTTTAAAAACTATGACAACCATAAGTTAACAAATTTGCTGTTTCCTCTGCTCAAATGAACTGCTTAATTTTTTGCTTTTTATTATTACTTTTCTTTCTTTTTTTTTTTTTTTTAATGGTATTGGGGACTGAACCCAGACCTTCACGCATGCTAGGCAAGAGGTCTACTACTAAACTGGGTGCCCTGCATGCCTGTAATCCCAATGGCTTGGGAGGCTGCAGGCAGGATGATTCCAAGTTTAAAGTCAGCCTAAGCAACTCAGCGAGACCCTGTCTCTAAATAAAATATAAAAAACAGGGCTGGGGTTGTGGCTCAGTAGCAGAGCACTTGCCTAGGACATGTGAGGTCCTGGGTTCAATCCTCAACGCATATAAAAAATAAATGATGGGGCTTGCCTAGCATGCATGAGGCACTGGGTTCGATTCTCAGCACCACATAAAAATTAAGTAAAGATATTGTGTCCACCTAAAAACTAAAAAATAATTAGAAAAATAAATGAATAAAATAAAAATTTAAAAAAAGTTACCTCATTAAAAACAAAAAAGGGACTGGGAATGTGGCTCAGTGGTTAAGCATCCCTGCATTCAATCCCTGGTACAAAACAAAATAACAACAACAACAACAACAAACACAACAACTCTACTATTGGGTTACAACCCTTTTATTTATTTTGGAACAGGGTCCCACCAAGTTGTCCTGGCCTGGAACTGCCTTAGTCTTTTGAGTAGCTGGGATAATAAGCATGTGTTATTGGCCAGGATTATTACAAAGTTTTGGTTTTTTCTTTTCTTTCAATACTGGGGATTGAACCTAGGGAGCATGCTTTACCACTGAGCTATATCCCCACACTTTATATATTTTAAAAAATATTTTATTAGTTGTTGATGGTCCTTTATTTATTTTTATGTGGTGCTGAGAATCAAACCCAGTGCCTCATACATGCTAGGCTAGCGCTCTGCCAACGAGCCACAACCCCCGCCCCGCCCAGCCCACACTTTATATTTTTATTTTGAGGCAGGGTCTTGCTAAGTTGCTAATGCTGTCCACAAACTCCTGAACTTCCTGCTTCTACTTCCCAAGCAATTGGGATCATGCAATTGCAACACTGCACCTATCTATCATGAAGTTTTTACTGATAGATTATATTCTATTTATCAATTTACTTAACCTTAAAAAAAAAGATGCTCTAGGAATGAGACACTGTAAATAAAAATCGCAACATATTCTAAATGGGAAATATTGATTCTGCAAAATAAGAGGCAAAGAAATTGCTACAAATTGTGTTGCACTAGTACTTGAAATTTATACATATTTGTCAATTAATAAAGTTAAATTTTCTTTCATTTCTGGCACTTGACCACAGCCACTACATTATTAATTATTATTCCTACAAATTAAAAAAAAGGACTTAAAAAACAAATAAATAAAATTACTGTTCCTGATTTCTGTATGTTTTTTACTAATTTTTTTTCTAATTTTTTTAAAGAATTGATACTTAGGTAACTACTAAAGTTCTCTGTTCTTTCTACAGAGTATGTCCTTTGCAACCTGACCACACAGATGATGAAAAAGAATAGAACTTATTCATCTTTGAATAATGTCTCCTGTTTACTCTGGTATTTTAGGGTATAAATTTGCATAGATATGTTTGTTCAGTAAGCTTTGATGAATAGGCATTCGATTTAAAAAATGAGGCTAAAGTTTATTCAAAAGCAAGTTATGAAATTGGAGAATTTGTAAAATTACGGTTACTTAGGTTAATATTCAATTTTAATGCACTATGTTGGTTCTTTTACCTGTTATAAAGCTTCTTGTTCTTGCTAACATTAAATCAGTGCATGATGTTCCAATTACTAATGTCCTGTATTTGAGATTTGTTTACATCTTTGTACTGATGCCATTTGGGCATTGAAATTATGCTATGTTTTTATTCCCTTTATTTGCTTTAAAAAAGCAGAGTTAGAGTTTTGCACATGAAAAAAAAATCAGTATTAATTAAATTTAGTTTCTGTCATTTTTCGGAAAGGGGGCCAAAAATGCCCTCTTGAATAAATTTGGATGGATGTGGAAAAAGTTAAGGACAGTTAAAACAACAAAAAGACAAAATTCTAGCATAGAATAAGGAAAAAAGATTCTATAAGCCACATTAATAGGGAGGAATTTTTCTTGGATATTTGATTCAGTATCATAAAATATTACCCTTTGCATTTATACTTTTAAAGTTGGAAATCAATAAAATATGACAGGCAAATCATGCTATAAACCAACAGCTATGTCTAAAGTCCTTAGAGCATTCACTTCATTTCTCAAGATTAACTGAAGAAGTGGGTATAATACTACTTGTTAATTGATGTTCTTGCTTTCCTAGCACACTTTTTGCATACTGACAAGCTGTCAATTTTCAAAATTAACCATGTTTTAACAGGCATGTTTTCTGAAATTTGAAATAAAAGACTACTTATTTTCACAATACACATCCATTTGTGTGCTTCCTGAATTAATGCCTGACCAAATGTTTCAATTTTATTCCTTCCAAATGCAAAATCTGATTTTATCAACTTCCAAACTGATACCTGATGATTGTAGATTGTATATTATATTTTTTGCTTTGTCTTTTAGAAGTGGATGTTAAACGGAATGTTATTCAATTGGGAATACACACACACTACACATATGTACATATGTGTGTGTGTATATATACATATATGTATATGTGTGTACATATATATGATCAATATGTGTGTGTGTATATATACACACACACACACACACACACACACACACACACACACAGGGTCTCACTAAATTGCTCAGGCTGGCTTTGAATTTGCCATTCTCCTCCCAGGCATGCACCACTACAACAGCTTCAACCAGGTTTTTAAAGAACAATTAATTACTGGATATGCTTTGAAGTAGGGTGTGTGAGGTCTCAAATGTGCATATGTAGATGGCAGGAGTGGGAATGTTTTAGATGTACTGAGACATTAGAGTCTGAAGTAATTTCCTAACTGGCTTTGCTGAATTGACTGCCTAGGTAAATCAATTTAACACTGTCTCATGCATTCTGGAACCCAATAGACCTGGAATTTCTTCCAAGTTACCAAAGCTATTTCCTGTCCGTCCTAGCTCAGGTGGACAACAATACAATATCCGTGATTGAGGTTATCATGACCCACAAAACTGAAGACTGCCATTGCAAGTGTATTCACTGCTAATGAAGAGAAAAATTTAGAAGTTACCCTCTTGCTGTACTGCATCTAAGCAGACCTATTCAAGATAGGAAAGACAAGATTTTTACTCATTTTCTCTGAATATTTAATTACTATAATGATGAGGGGTTTTTCTTAGGGGTGGGGGGACCGGAGATTTAGCTCAGGGGCACTCGACCACTGAGCCACATCCCCAGCCCTATTTTGTACTTCATTTAGAGACAGGATCTCACTAAGTTGCGTAGCACCTCGCTTTTGCTAAGCCTGGCTTAGAACTCGCGATCCTCCTGCCTCAGACTCCTGAGCCTCTGGGATTACAGGAGTGTGCCACCGTGCCTGATAGTCATTTTTATAAAAAGGATTACTTTTAAACCCCAAACTACCCTAATATAGAATAAATGAGATGTCTTATTGAATTGTTTCTTGCCCACAGTGCAGGTATGAACGTTTATTCGGAGTGGAGGATTAGATATGTTTCTCATTACCAAACTTGATTATGGGGTTCCTTTGGCCTTTTGCTTTGCTCTTTTGAGGATTTACATCCATTCTCTCCCCTCCCCTTTAATTTAGCAAGGTTGTTTCTAGACCATAAACAAACACGCGCAATCTTTAAAAAAAAAAAAAAAGGTGAAGACAAAACTTGCTCACCATTTGGCTTCAGGAGCTATCACAGGAGAACGAAGTCTATCAAAAAGCTTTCACATTGAAGATTTTTAAAATCCAGCTGAAACACAAGGGAAATCCACAAGAGGGAGATGCTTGTTAAATCTCCAGAAAGTAACTCCCGCAAGGGACCAGTAAGAAGAGCTTTAAGAGGAGCCACTTAGCCTGGGGCTCAGAGCAGAAGGGAGCTGGTGTATGCAGTTGGTGGGGGCTGATGACCCAGAATGGCTGAAGGGAAAAGCGGCATGGGCTTACTGCCTCTGGCAGCGAGGCATTTCCTCGAACTAAATTCTTGAGTAGAAGGTAAGAGGGTGTTACCAAAGCAGAGCAGTACTCTCACAGCCTACCACCTGGTAGTCCCAAAAGATATGAGGGTGGGTGGGTGCTTTGGAGGCACTTCCGCTTAGCAACCCCACGCTGTTGCTAAGGAGGGGCTGCCGCGGGGATGACCCGGAAGTGGTGGTGTCAATTTCTCCGTGCCTGCTCTAGGTTTGTCCTATCAAGAGCGTCGGGGTACTCCGAGGGCTCCTGGCCGTGGGAGGGGTCAGTGCTAGTGGTTCCGGTTCGGCTGCTGCCGCCCCTCGGCTCCTTACTTTCCCCCTCCCCTCCGCCTCCTCTCCTCCCTCCCGCTCTTGGGAAAGAGAAGCTACAGCTGCGGGTGGGTAGAGAAGCACTCGGCGCCTCCGGGAGGGGACCGCGCCCGCTCCTTTGAGCCCCAGAGCATGCCCGTTCCAGGTACTTGCTCTAGCTTCGACGGGGTCCGGGAGGCTGGAGTCTGAGGGAGTGTGTGTGTGTGTGAGAGAGAGAGAGAGAGAATGAGAGAGAGGGAGAGAGTGAGGGGATGATGGGTGGCTCTTACCCGGGTCGGGGAGGGGGACGCTGGGATCCCGGGTGGGGCGCAGGCGGCGTGTGGAGGGTTGCGTGGGCGGAATGGAGGGGCTGGGACACACTGCCGGCGGATAGTTTCGGGTAGCGGGCTAGGGACCCACGGAGAAGGTGCCCCTTCTTAGGCAGAAGACTTTGGCCAGTGCTGACCCGGAGTTTGCCACCTGAAGGCTCGCTTTGAAAAAGGGGGAGCATCATCTAGGGCCAAAAGGAGAGTATGGACTAGGCGGGGTGGCTTGGGCAATCTCATGCTTTCCATTACCGGATTCTCCTACCCATCCCGCTGAGACAGCGAGGTTTCAGGGTTTGTGGGGGTTCTGATTCGGCTGAGCACAGTGGAGCCGCCCTTGGGAGAGCTGGGGCAGGAGAGTGGGTAATGAGACCTCCCTCCACCCAACTTCCGTGCGCTTCCCCCGCTCCTTCCTTTACTGTTCCCTTGCCTCAGCGTCCTACAGGATCAGTGTCCCCCAAGTGGGTAAGGATCACCGTGTAGAAGAAAGAGGGTGGAACTGGATTTGTTGCCCCTAAATGACACTTCAGATGTTTGGAAAAACTTCCAGCTAGATACATATCTGGTACAAATTTTCTTTTAAAAGTGCGATTCTGAAAAGCACCCAGCACCCATACTCGGACATTGCCTTGTATAGTAGATGTACGTGCCTGGCGGCGGGGGTGGGGAGGGGGGGAGACAAAAAACAAGAAGACTGGGAAAACGGTATGGATATAGAGGTCTAGGAAAGACATGTTGAGGCAAGCCTCGTCCAATCTCTTTTTTACCTGTCGGTAAACCTGCCCTAGTTTAAATGAAGCAGAAAGATCCTTTTCATTTCTGTTTCATTAACTGAATTGTAGGTAGTTTAGTGATGCATGTCTCAGAATAGATACGTGAACTTTCGGTGAGACTAGATTCTCTGCTGTTGAGCTGTGTTAATCTTTTAAGGAGATAATTGTGGTCAAGTGGAAGTATTGGCTTTGAGGTAAATAAATCTGGGATTAAACCCACACTGTGCTGCTTGCTAATTGTTGACCTTGGGCAAATCCTCAGGTTTTTCTTTTTAAATATTTTTTAGTTGTAGATGTACATAATATCCTTATTTTATTTACTTATTTATTTTTATGTGGTGCTGAGGGTCGAACCCAGTGCCTCACACTTGTGAGGCAAACACTTTATCACTGAGCTAGAATCCCAGTCCGCAGGGTTTTTTTTTTTAACATCATTTTTTATTGTTGTTGTTTTTTATATGGTGATGGGGATTGAACTCAGGACCTCCTGCATGCTAGGCAGGTGCTTTACCACTGAGCTATCTCCCCAGCCAGTTTTTTTTTTTTTTTTTTTAAGAGAGAGAGAGAGAGAATTTTTTTAATATTTATTTATTTATTTATTTATTTTTAGTTTTCGGCGGACATAACGTCTTTGTATGTGGTGCTGAGGATCGAACCCGGGCCGCACGCATGCCAGGCGAGCGCGCTACCGCTTGAACCACCTCCCCAGCCCCCGCTTTTTTTTTTTTTTTTTTTTTTTAATAAATAAAATGAGTACAATTCTTACCAGTATTACAAGGGGGATAGTACATTTAAATTACAGCCTCCTCTTGCCTTGTTGAGCAATGAACTTAGGGCCTTGCACATACAGGCAGGCACTGTACCACTGAGCTACATCCCCAGCCTCTGTATGTAATTATAATTAACATCATATTTCTTTAAAGAGAATTAAAATTGGAGCATAAAAATAGAAAGTAGTAGTAATTTTAAGATTAAAATCAACATTAATAGCTTGACTCTGATTTAGACTAAAGTATTGGCAAAAAAGAATTCTTATAACTAATCTGTAAAATAAATGGATATGGAATAAATTTCCACCTTTAAGTCATTTCTCATTAGAACATGGAAATCAAGAAGTGTGTGGTCTTTATGTTTGTTGGCTTTATGGATCTAAAATCATAGTTACATGTGACCTATTAGATCTCAAGATTTTCAGCTAACATTTTTGTTTGTTTGTTTGTTATTAGGGATTGAACCCAGGGGCACTCAACCACTGAGCCACATTGCCACCCCTATATTTTTTTGTATTTTATTTAGAGACAGGGTCTCACAGAGTATACTAGCCTCTCACCCATTGCTGAGGCTGACTTTGAACTCGAGATCATCCTGCCTCAGCCTTCTGAGCTGCTGGGGTTACAGGCTTACTCTTCTGCACCCAGCTAAGATGTTTTTTTTTGATCTTGTAGTAAGTAATTTTAAAAATTGTACATGTACTTTATAGTCAAAGGAATATAAAGGAATAGAAATAACTTACTTTAGGCCTTGTGTGGTGGTGCACACCTGTAATATCAGCGACATGATAGGCTGAGGCAAGAAGGATGGCAAATTAAAGGACAGCTGCTGCAATTTAAGGAGACTCTAGTCAAAAAAAAAAAAAGTGTTGGGGATGGGGGCACATGCCTGTAACCCCATTGGCTAGGGAGGCTGAGGTAGGAGGTTGGCAAGTTCAAAGTCAGCCTCAGCAACTTAGCAAGACCCTGTCTCAAAATAAAACATAAAAAGAGCTAGGTAAAGCATGCCTGGTTTCAGTCCCTAGTAGGAAAAATAGTTTGTTTTTTTTTTTTTTTTCTGAAAAGTTGGTACAAAGTTTGTAATTTAACTTTTCAGAGAGGTTTTTGAGTTTTGTGTGAATTTAGTCATTTTTAAATGTATTTTTCCAGTGTTTTTCTTTTCTTTTTCCTTTTTTTAAAGATACGATAAATTTGTGATGAGTTTCATTTAAAGAGACTCTTGTCTAAAAAAAGTGTTGGGGTTTATTTTTTTTTAATATTTATTTTTTAGGTGTAGTTGGAAACAATGCCTTTATTTTATTTATTTATATGTGGTGCTGAGGATCAAACCTAGGGCCTCACACGTGCTAGGCCAGCGCTCTACCACTGAGCTACACCCTCAGCCCCATCTTTTTTTAAATATACTTTTTAGTTGTAGTTGGACACAATAACTTTATTTTATTTATTTTTATGTGGTGCTGAGATTCGAACCCAATGCCTTGCACATGCTTGGCAAGCGCTGTACCACTGAGCCCCAGCCCCTATATTTTTCTTTTAAACGAAGTTGAAATTGTTTTGCTACAGTTATTCAACTTTTAAAATGGCTCTTCTAAGGATCCAGTCTTTTGTATATATCTAAGCTTTTTGCTCTTTTCTTGGATCATTATTTTTCATCATTTTTGAATCTTAAGGTAAGATTATCTTGCTTTGATAAAGTTATCAGAAGCTGCCATTCCCCCCCATCTTCATATAAAACTTTAATAATCCATTCATTTTTATGAAATGATACTAGCTGTTACAGCAAATTGTTCTATCTAAATTGTATGCAATGACTAGAGACTGTTAGGGATGATATTTTTCTCCATGACAAGTATGTGACTGATGATTCCAAGGGTCTTTGCAGTTGTCTGTGATGGAATTTGCTTGCCAGGAAATCTAAAAGTGACTAAACCTTAACCTTGGTTTCTATCTCTTGGATGATCTGTAAAAGATTTAGGTAAGAGACGTGTGTGTGTGTACCCAAATACACACACATACATATATCACCTATGTATATATAAATCATGTATATACATATACAGTGTGTGTGTGTGTATATATACACACACACACACGCACACACACATTTATACTATAGACTAGAATCATATAATGAAAAAAGTTTAGTTGATTTTTTTTTTTTTTTTTTTAAGTTTATTTTGGGTGCTGCCAAATCAGGAGTGAAAGAGAGTTACTGTGGGCACGGCACGTTAAAAAAAAAAAAAATCCAGATACTGCTTTCTCTTCACACAAATCAAATGATTGCTCTTCCAGAGCTTATTTGTATTTTAAAGCACAGTTCTCTTATTTAATTTCTAATAAAGTTAAATCATTTGTGTATCAGGAAAAAACTGATATGATAACTAGATTTTAATATTGCTGATTTTTTTTAGAAACTGTTTTAATGGCTTTATATTAGAAGTAGATTTTTCCTGAAAACTTTCAAATTTACGAAATGATAGTTTTTCTCTTTTTAACTTCTAACTTGTCTCTACTCATTTCTGCCTAATATAGAATCTTTGAGAAGACAGGATTAAAAAAAGAAAGAATTTACTTCAGAATTACCATTTTATGGTTTTATAGATTACTTATTTAGAGAGCTAAATTGGATTTTTACATTATTGGGATTGTGTTCAAGATGGACTCTGAAAAAAAAATTACATGCCATCTGTTTCAGATTCCTTCTCTCCCCACCCCTTCCATGTTTTATGGCTTTGAATTCATCAAATTATTTTTCAGAAAAAAACCCCAGTAGTTTTGAACTATATATCAGTCTAACAGTGAACATGTAACTAAAGAACTTGCATTTTTATATTAAATTACACAGGATAATGTCAGGCATTGGTTAAAGGTGATTATCTCAAACTCTGAATATTACATAGCTTCTTATACCTTTAA